GATAGCCTTTTCTGACTCTGATTGGGTCGCAATTGAATTTGCGCTCGATTCATTTTTCGTCAGATGGTATTGGTCCTTTGTCGTAATGACTTGGACTGATATCGGAGTGGTTTGTTGGCTGGCACGTATTGGTATATTGGTGCCAACTTCCTCCATAAAATCCGCATCAGGGCCTTTCTCGCTCATGATAGAATNTACCTAACGTACCCTGACGTACCTAACGTACCCTGACGTACCTAACGTACCCTGACGTTCCTAACGTACCCTGACGTACCTAACGTACCCTGACGTTCTTAACGTACCCTGACGTTCTTAACGTACCCTGACGTTCCTAACGTACCCTGACGTACCTAACGTACCTTATCGTACTAATTAATCAATTTTTCCACATTTTTGAGCTCACCCCGTTACCCCAGCCTGCAGGTCACCCCATTACCCCAGCCTGCAGGTCACCCCATTACCCCAGCCTGCAGGTCACCCCATTACCCCATTACCCACCCATTACCTGGGCAGGGTCTCGTAGTTGGAGTAATGGTAACCCATATACTGGCAGTCACTGGAGTGCACGCATACCAGCTTAGGGCAGCACCTGTAATGGGCAATGGTAATGGGCACGTGGTAATGGGCACGTGGTAATGGGCACGTGGTAATGGGCACGTGGTAATGGGCACGTGGTAATGGGCACGTGGTAATGGGCACGTGGTAATGGGTACGTGGTAATGGGTACGTGGTAATGGGCACGTAGTAATGAGCACGTGGTAATGGGAATGTGATGATGGGTGAGTGACAATAACTTCATAATTTTCGACTTCCATGTAAATCCATTAAAATACCCATTACAGGATATCATTGGGTCATTAATGGCTTGACATTAATGTACCCATTAAACATTTTTTAATTTTTTTTTCTCTATTCGGTCTATTAATATATGAATATAAAAAAATAAGAAAATTGTCAATAAGAAATACTCTCTGGTCTTCAATGAAACCAGCATTAAAGAACAGCTTCTGCCAAACTACACAAATATTAAACAATTCATACACAATAATGGGCCAATAATGGGTTACCTGGGCGGGCTGGGCACATATTCAGGGTCCAGGCCCCACTCCAGGCACGAGGCGTCGGCGAGATCCAACCCATCAGTTTGGGGACAGTCAATGGGCATACAGTGGACCTGCGGGCACAATAATGGGCATACAGTGGACCTGCGGGCACAATAATGGGCATACAGTGAACCTGCGGGCACAATAATGGGCATACAGTGGACCTGCGGGCACAATAATGGGCATACAGTGGACCTGCGGGCACAATAATGGGCATACAGTGGACCTGCGGGCACAATAATGGGCATACAGTGGACCTGCGGGCACAATAATGGGCATACAGTGGACCTGCGGGCACAATAATGGGCATACAGTGGACCTGCGGGCACAATAATGGGCATACAGTGGACCTGCGGGCACAATAATGGGCATACAGTGGACCTGCGGGCACAATAATGGGCATACAGTGGACCTGCGGGCACAATAATGGGCATACAGTGGACCTGCGGGCACAATAATGGGCATACAGTGGACCTGCGGGCACAATAATGGGCATACAGTGGACCTGCGGGCACAATAATGGGCATACAGTGGACCTGCGGGCACAATAATGGGCATACAGTGGACCTGCGGGCACAATAATGGGCATACAGTGGACCTGCGGGCACAATAATGGGCATACAGTGGACCTGCGGGCACAATAATGGGCATACAGTGGACCTGCGGGCACAATAATGGGCATACAGTGGACCTGCGGGCACAATAATGGGCATACAGTGGACCTGCGGGCACAATAATGGGCATACAGTGGACCTGCGGGCACAATAATGGGCATACAGTGGACCTGCGGGCACAATAATGGGCATACAGTGGACCTGCGGGCACAATAATGGGCATACAGTGGACCTGCGGGCACAATAATGGGCATACAGTGGACCTGCGGGCACAATAATGGGCATACAGTGGACCTGCGGGCACAATAATGGGCATACAGTGGACCTGCGGGCACAATAATGGGCATACAGTGGACCTGCGGGCACAATAATGGGCATACAGTGGACCTGCGGGCACAATAATGGGCATACAGTGGACCTGCGGGCACAATAATGGGCATACAGTGGACCTGCGGGCACAATAATGGGCATACAGTGGACCTGCGGGCACAATAATGGGCATACAGTGGACCTGCGGGCACAATAATGGGCATACAGTGGACCTGCGGGCACAATAATGGGCATACAGTGGACCTGCGGGCACAATAATGGGCATACAGTGGACCTGCGGGCACAATAATGGGCATACAGTGGACCTGCGGGCACAATAATGGGCATACAGTGGACCTGCGGGCACAATAATGGGCATACAGTGGACCTGCGGGCACAATAATGGGCATACAGTGGACCTGCGGGCACAATAATGGGCATACAGTGGACCTGCGGGCACAATAATGGGCATACAGTGGACCTGCGGGCACAATAATGGGCATACAGTGGACCTGCGGGCACAATAATGGGCATACAGTGGACCTGCGGGCACAATAATGGGCATACAGTGGACCTGCGGGCANGGTGAAATGACGTAAATCTCACGGTGAAATGACGTAAATCTCACGGTGAAATGACGTAAATCTCACGGTGAAATGACGTAAATCTCACGGTGAAATGACGTAAATCTCACGGTGAAATGACGTAAGTCTCACGGTGAAATGACGTAAATCTCACGGTGAAATGACAAAAATCTCATGACGAAATGACTTAAATCTTATGATGAAGTGACGTAAATCTCACGGAAAAATGACGTAAATCTGACAGTAAAACGACGTAAATTTCACGGTGAAAAAACTTAAACCTCCCTGTAAAATGGCGTAAATTTCGCAGTAAATAACGTAAATCTCAATGTTAGCTGACGTAAATCTCGCGGCTAAATACAATAGATCTCACGACTGACTATAATCTCACAGTGAATTTACGTACTAAATCTCACGGTAAAAAGAGGCAAATCTCTCAGCGAAATGACGTAAATCTTACGGTAAAATAGCGTGAATCCCAAAATTATGTAAATATCACAGTGAAAAGACGAAAATTTCGCAAAGAAAGGACGTAAATCTTACGATGAAGTGACGTAAATCTCACGGGAAAATGACTTAATCTTTTTTAACAAAATTAAATCGCTAGTCGACGTCTATGACGTTAATATTGCGTCAAGCTTATATAAAATTACACGAAAATCAGAAACAGACGCTGGAAAAGATAAATTATGACGTAAAATAATGAAAAAGTCAAATGAACGTTAAGTAACGTACTTGAGACGTTATGCTTCATGACGTCGGACGTGACGTCGCCGCACACGGTGATGGTGCAGCAGACGTCCAACGGGTCGGGCAACGTCTCGCACAACGCGCCCGTCGACGTCGGCTTCAGAGGTGAGCATCTGCGCGACGTAGGGGACGTTAACGGACGTACCAACATGACGTAGCAACATGAGACGTACCAACACATGACGTACCAACATGTGACGTACCAACATGGGACGTACCAACATGACGTACCAACATGACGTACCAACATGGGACGTACTACGTACCCAGATAAGACGTACCCAGATAAGACGTACCCAGATAAGACGTGCCTAGATAAGACGTACCTAGAAAAGACGTACCTAGAGAAGACGTGCCTAGAAAAGACGTACCTAGAGAAGACGTACCTAGATAAGACATACCTAGAAAAGACGTACCTAGAGAAGACGTACCTAGATAAGACGTGCCTAGATAAGACGTGCCTAGATAAGACGTACCTAGAAAAGACGTACCTAAATAAGATGTGCCTAGAAAAGACGTACCTAGAGAAGACGTACCTAGAGAAGACGTACCTAGATAAGACGTGCCTAGATAAGACGTACCTAGAAAAGACGTACCTAGATAAGACGTACCTAAATAATACGTACCTAGAAAAGACGTACCTAGATAAGACGTACCTAAATAAGACGTACCTAGAAAAGACGTACCTCGATTAGACGTACCTGCTGCGTCTCGACGTCGAGGGCGGCGGTGGGCGACGTCAGCAGCCCGTCCACGACGTCCTGGCTGACGTCGACGCGCAGCTCCATGGACGTCTCGTTGAGGCCCGTCGTCTGCGTGATGCGCAGCTCGTGACGTACCGACGTACCGACGTCATGTTCATGCGTCATGTTCATGTCATGTTCAGTGGTGACGTCATCGACATGAGTCATGTTCATGTCGGGTAATACGTCATGTTCACTTCGTACGTCATGTTCACTTCGTACGTCATGTTCACCTCGTACGTCATGTTCACCTCGTACGTCATGTTCACTTCGTACGTCATGTTCATGTTCAGTTCTTGTCTCATGTTCACCATGTTCGTCATGTTCATGTTGGCCATGTTTATGCACGTTCGTGGCGACGAGGATGGGCTCATGAAAATGTTCGTCATGTTCACCATGACTGTGAGGGATGCCATGTTCATGCATGAGTCTGTGGCTGTCGTTCATGTTCACGTGCATGTGCGAGTCATGTTCATCATGAGCATGAGGCACGCCCAGACGATGCATGTCCTCATGACTCATGTTCATGCCAACGTCATGTTCATGATGATGAACATGAGAGGTGAATACTGGGTTGCCATGTTCGTCATGTTCATGCGCAATGTTCAGCGCGTGGATCTCTGCGTGGCTTAAGGAACTAAAATCATGTTCATTGTGGTCATGTTCATTATGTTCACTGTGATCATGTACGTTATGTTCACTTCGGAAATGTGCGCCATGTTCACCATGGTCATGTTCTTCATGTTGACCAAGCGTCATGTTGCGCGGGACGTCATCATGTTCAGTGACTGCACGTGAAGAGGAGAATAAATAGGAAATAAATCAGAAAATAAGGCGACGTTAAATAGTAAATCTCACGGTGAAATGACGTAAATCTCATGGTGAAATGACTGTCTCTTATACACATCTTGACGTACCCGTGGACGTCGCGTTGGTACAGATGGTACAGCAGGGGTCGTTGGGGTCGCTGCGCAGGTCACACGCCTCCCCAGGGGGCGGGGGGGCGGAGCAGCGGGGCTAAAAATTAAAAAAAATAATGTTTGTTTATTTATTATGTTTACAAAATAAATAATATAATATATATAATATAATATCTATAATAATAAATAATAAATACTAAAATAATGTTTACTTAAATTTTTTAGGCTGTTAATAAGAATTTCAAACTTCTTGAAATAAAAATTATAATGCCATAAATTTATTATTAAATTAAAGCTTAAATTATCAAAAATGTCGGAGTGTTTAAGGCATTTTTCTAAGGTGCATATATTTCGACAGTCAATTCATAAATTAAACAGGTAATTGCTAGACAGTTAATACATCAGGTCATGTATCGATGGAAAATAATTAATAAATATAATCAAGTAAACCAAATTATCCCGAATAGAATCGAAAATCTTTGATAAATATACTCAAATCCTGTATGAAAAGCTAAAAATTCGTTCAATCCTGCGTTATGCTGAACGCTGGCAGTGTCTGGCATCTCGGAGCCTAAGTCCGTTGTTAGGCGCGCTCTGATTGGCCGTCATACATGCAAATTGAACGCTGGCGGCGTATGGCATCTTGAAACCTTAAGGTGCTTATACACGGGGCGACTAGTTGCGTCCATTAGTTGAGTCGACTAGTAGACGCAACTAATATTTGTGATGATTGACGTCTTCAGAGGCGACTAGTTTGTGCACTGCACGCACAACAGCTCAAGTTGTTTTGAGCCTGGATAGTGTGTTCAGTAGTCAGTACCGCCTCGGCCTTCGTAGTGTGCATAGCTGCGTCGCTCTCTCTCTTGCTTGTCTTGTATCTTATAGCCGCTGTAATGTGCATAACTGTGGAGCTCTCGCTTGCCTCCCCCATGAACACATTTTACTCGGCAACTCCCATCGTCGCACTGGCTCTGGCGCACTGTACTGAAAACACTCTCCTCGTGTATAGGCTCTCAGCCTGCAAAACAGTAGTCGACTCGACTAATCTACGCGACTATTCGCCCAGTGTATAAGCACCTTAAGCCCGAAGTTAGCCGCGCTCTGATTGGCCATCAAATGTGCAAATTAAACGCTGGCGGCGAATGGCATCGCGTAACCTGAGCCCGAAGTTAGGCGCGCTCTGATTGGCTATTAGAACGCAAATTGAATGCTGGCAGCCTCTGGCATCGTAAACCTAAGCCCAAAGTTAAACGAGCTCTGATTGGCCGCAAAATTTGGGGTTGTTAAGGAGGGTTGTATGCGGATAAGGTCAGAGTTACATAGAGTTGTGGGGGTTACGGATTTGCTCACCCTGCAGTCGATCTCCCCAGTGGGGGTGCAGAGGCAGCGGGAGACGCAGCCTTCGTAGAAGACCTCCCCGGGGGAGTAGGTGAGGTTGTGGTGGTGACAACGCACGGAGTCCAGCCCTGCCGGGGAGGAGGAAGAGGGTTTAATTTTGGGTGTATTTACCCACAGCCCAATCTCAATTTCTAACCTAAATTTACCCACAGCCAAATCAGAGGGGTGGAGATTAGGGGGTTAAATTTGGGGTTTATTGACCCACAACATAACCCTAAAATTTACAAAACTAACGTCACACTTACTGGCATGGCAGCCGGTCTCCAGGTTAGTGGGGTTGCCATGGTAACCAGGCAGGCACACGCACTGGCCCAATGGCGACACGTCGAGGCTAAGCGGAGTGAGAGCGGCCACCGGATTGGTCGTCGATAGCGAGCTGCTTGTGCCATTGGCTGCGGTGTTAGACCAATCGGAAGTCGAGTTGCCAAGGAACGACGTGTCATTGGCTGAGCCCCGGCCAATGGCAGGAGAGGTGACGTCACTGGAGTTGCGTTGTGGGTGCTCGCTCACGCACTCGGCGTTTGGCCCGCACACAATATTCGCGCACTGGTCGAACTCTGAAAAATTTGTGGAAATTTGTAAGGAGCGAAAAATTTTAACAAGAATTGCGTGATTTCAAACAGCTTACATTATAATCCTTAACCAGATAAGCCAGACTGCTGATAACTCATAGTTGAGCTATATAAGTTTGACCCGCGAGGATTTTCGCCTATTAGCGCATCTTCCTTATGACGTCACTGAGACCGAGAAACGTAAACAATCCCGTCATTCCCATGAAGGATTGGTTGACTGGTTTGATCGCAGTTCAGTAATTGGTTGGATGACGGGTTAGAACAACAAACAACATCCACAAAACTGAGAGTCTCGTGGGTAGAGCCTATTATAGTTCAACCATGGCTGATAACCAACTACTTAGGTCTTCCCTTGGGCTCTGATTGAATTTATTATAACTATAATGTATATATACTTATAGAAACTTCAACTGTTGATTATTGGTTCGTTCGTTTGATAAGTAGCGATTGTCTTGTGCACCATATCACCGCCGTGTGCACCACTAAGACCCACCGTGTGCGCCGGAGCGCGTGGCACAGACCACCAGCACGCAGCAGTCGTCGGCAACTGTGCGCTGCTCTTCACACAGGGGCGTCGCCCCCACGCTGCCCCGTCTGGGGGGCATACATAATATACATCTCACAAACATCGTAAACTGCACACAGAGCAGATACACAGAATCAGCACTTGATGCTAAGTGTACGGGTTTCACAAGCTTTTCATTTGAGATTATGGAGCTATATCAACACGGAAACACAACAATTCGTCAATATACAAGTGATGTATGAAGAAATAATTCACCGGAAGTAGGAGGCATACGCACCGGAAGTAGAGGGTTCACTCACCAGAAGTAGGGTGTTCACTCACCGGAAGTACGCACCGGAAGTAGAGCGTTCACGCACCGGAAGTAGAGCGTTCACTCACCGGAAGTACATACCGGAAGTAGAGCGTTCACGCAACGGAAATAGAGCGTTCACTCACCGGAAGTACGTACCAGAAGTAGAGTGTTCGCGCACCGGAAGTAGAGTGTTCACGTACCGCAAGTAGAGTGTTCACTCAACGGAAGTAGTGTTCACTCACCGGAAGTAGAATGTTCACTCACCGGAAGTAGTGTTCACGCACCGGAAGTAGAGTATTCACGCACCGGAAGTTAGAGTGTTCACTCACCGGAAGTAGAGTGTTCACGCACCGGAAGTAGGGTGTTCACGTACCGGAAGTAGTGTTCACTCACCGGGAGTACGTACCGGAAGTAGAGTGTTCACTCACCGGAAGCAGAGCGTTCACGCACCGGAAGTAGAGCGTTCACGCACCGGAAGTAGAGTGTTCACGTACCGGAAGCTGTAGAGCGTTCACTCACCGGAAGTACGTACCGGAAGTAGAGTGTTCAAGCACCGGAAGTACGTACCGGAAGTAGAGTGTTCACTCACCGGAAGTACATACCGGAAGTAGTGTGTTCATTCACCGGAAGTACGCACCGCAGGTAGAGTGTTCACGCATCGGAAGTAGAGTGTTGACTCACCGGAAGTACGTACCGGAAGTAGTGTTCAAGCACCGGAAGTAGGTGGTTCACTCACCGGAAGTAGGGGACCGTGCAGCGCTCGGTGCACTTGACGAAGCCGTCCTCGTAGCAGGCGCAGGCCTCCTCGCACCCCCGCGCGAACGAGCCGATGGCGTACGTGGCGTTGGCGTACACGCACCCCGCTGGGGGAGGGGAGGAGAAGGGGGTTATGAAAATATGGCCTAAGCGGTGTTATATATATACATATAAGTATACGCAGGCCTATATGCCTATTGTACTCGGCTGTGTATGCCACTAACTTCATGGATATTTAGCTGGGGCGGCCTTAAATTTTGCGGTGAGTCCGCTAAAGGTGAGTCAGCTTATTTTCCATTTGAATCCTGCTCTGAGGATTCAATCAGCTTAACCTCCTAGTCCGAATCCTAACTGGGTCAAGTGCCTCCTAAGTGGGTTAAGTGCCTCCTAAGTGGGTCAACAGCATACTTAGTGGGTCAAGTGCTCCCTAAGTGGGTCAAGAGCCAAAGTGGGTCAAGTGCCTAAGTGGGTCAAGTGCCTAAGTGGGTCAAGCCCCTAAGTGGGTCAAGTCCCTAAGTGTGTCAAGTGACTCACGTTGCGTGGTGACGGTGAGAGTCTCGGTGCGCTGCCCCGCCGTCGCGCCGCCGTCCACGGCCACCACGCGCACCTGACATTTGAGTGCGTTGTTTACATGCGCGCATTGAATGATTATCTTTTGTGCATCTCTATGATCTTTACATTGTTTACACTGATTGAAGCTTTACATTGTTTACATTGATTGAAGCTTTACATTGTTTACATTGATTGAAGCTTCACATTGTTTACATTGATTGAAGCTTTACATTGTTTACATTGATTGAAGCTTTACATTGTTTACATGCGCGTATTGCATGCTTAACGTATGCGTCTTTAGAATTTAATTTACAAAAACAAATTACAGAATTAAATTCCAATTTCTGATCTAATTTTTCCCATCCTTCATGTTCCACAAAAAACACCCAGAGAAATATGAGAGTTATTGTCCCTCTCGGTTCGGGGCTGCGGTTGAGAATTGGGTTTTATTGTTTGGTCAATTTAACGCATTCGTAGCTCTAATACACCTTTAAGGCAAGCATAAATGGGTCACAATGACCCACAAAAGAACAAAAACTACAACGTTATTAGGCCAAAGTCTCACGTATTTTATGACACTTCTAAAAAATTGAAAAAATAATCTTAATCAATAATAATCGATATTTAACACACTTCTACCTGTCCAATTGATCTAAAATTTTGCACACTTGTGTAAAGTTGGAGACAATGCATGAATCAATTGACAGAATAAATAATTTTAAAAATAAAGTAAAGTTTATATATAAAAAATATTAAATATCAACAAATTTTAAAGATTACAAATTATTGAATATCAAAAAAATTCATATTAAAAAATTTATATATAAACAAATAAAATTATAAATTCATTGTACACGTGTAACATCGGAGACAATGGCCTCTTCGGAAGTGTTGTCTTTAAAAATTAATTTATTAACACATATTTTTCTGAGTGATAAGCATGTCCATTAAAAATTAATTTTTTAGACGATTTTGTAAAATTAATTTTAAAAAATTATTTTTCAGAGTGTCCATCACCTGGTAGGTGGCCCCCGGCAGGAGGCTGGTGATGGTCACCGTAGGAGGACTCTTGTCCATGTCCACGGCCCGCCGCTGCCACCCAGCCGGACCCGCCATTTTGTCCTCCGCCGCCGCCGGAATTTCGGTCAAAGAATCCGCTTTCTTACCCGCCGCATCCGCCGTTTTGGTGGTGTTTGTTGTGGCGGGAATGTGGCGGTATTCCGCCATGTACACGTCGGCGGCGTCGCCCGACCTGCCGACACGTTGGAAATTAGATAATTTAACTAAGCATTATAATTAACTAAATAACAATTAACTGATTATTCGATGATTTTTAATTATTCTAACTAAGTATTCATAAATAAGAAACTATTTAAAATTAACTATCTATTTAAACTTTTAATTTGTCAAATATTCAACTAGGTAACGTAAGCAATCATATTAACAAATTGGCAGTTGTAATTGGTTAAACAGACAACCTGCATGCAGTGTAGATTCGTGGCATTCATGAGCGGCGGCTCCACACAACCTCCTCCTATGACAGCATTCGGCGCACTGACCACGCGACGCTAGCCGCACAAATATAAGCGCGTCAAGCTCGGGGAGACTTTGAAACACCCAAGTGTTTCAAAACAGGAGGCCTTTTTCTCTCAGTGCGGGCACGGGCCAACGAGGGCACGGGCCAACGAGGGCACGGGCCAACGAGGGCACGGGCCAACGAGGGCACGGGCCAACGCGGGCACGGGTCAACGGGGGCACGGGCCAGCCAACGAGGGTCAACGGGGGCACGGGCCAACGCGGGCACGGGGCACGGGCCAACGCGGGCACGGGTCAACGGGGGCACGGGCCAACGAGGGCACGGGCCAACGTACCTGAAATCGTCCCAGGCGAGAGTGACGCTGTCGTACGACGTCCGCATCACGATCAGCTTCGGGACGTCGCCCGTCCCTGAGGGGCCGTCCTCCGTCCCTAAAGGACCGTCGACGTCCGCAGGACCGTCCACAAGGGACGTCCTGGACGACAAGTCGACGTCGTCCGTCCCAGACGTCCTGTCCAACTTGTGGGCGACGTTGACGTCTGATGAATTTGACGTCACGTCCACGCGGTGGGCGGCGTCCCCGTCCATTTTACCTGAGGACGGCACGTTCAAAGTCTTTTTTACTGCAGCCAAGGACTTATACAGACCTTAATTGGGACCTTAATATGGCCTAAATGAACCCTTATTGATTTATTAATGCTTTAATTTTATATTAACTATGGGCTAAATGGTGGCCCAAGTGAAGCCCTCATTAAATAATTAAAAGCTTTTTTTCCGGACCTTAACCGCTACCGGCTCGGGTGGTACGAAAACCACTCATTTTTCATCTTACATTCGAAAAAAACATGCGAAATTCATCCTTTTTTTGCGTGCGTTTTAGGCGCTTCAAATTAGAAGCTGGGGCGACTCTAAAGTTTCCTCCTTACGTGCGTGTTAGGCGCATTAAATCAGAAGCTGGGGCGACTCTAAATTTTGATCATTACGTACATATTGGGCGCATTAAATCAGAAGCTGGGGCGACTCTAAATTTTTATCATTACGTGCATATTGGGCGCATTAAATCAGAAGCTGGGGCGACTCTAAAATTTTTATCATTACGTGCGTGTTGGGCGCCTTAAATCAGAAGCTGGGGCGACTCTAAATTTTCATCATTGAGTGCGTGTTGGGCGCCTTAACTCAGAAACTGTGGTTACTCTAAATTTTCCTTATTACGTGCGTGTTGGGCGCCTTAAATCAGAAGCTGTGGTGACCCTAAATTTTAATCAAAACTGGGCTTTGATTCAACCGCTAGGGCCAAATGAAGTAAAACGGTAACCGTATAGCTGATACACGTGGGGGTAAAATTAATCTAAATTCTCATCATTACGTGCATGTTGGGCGCCTTAAATCAGAATCTGAAGCGACCCTAAATTTTGATCAAAACTGGGCTTTGATTTAACCGCTAGGGTGAATGAAGTAAAAGGATAAGCTTACAGCTGATACACGCGAGGGTAAACTCAACCCACCTGGGCAGAGGAGGGTGGAGCAGCAGGGGTCACGGGGTACGAGCGAGCACCCGGGGGGGAGAGGGGCGTCCTGTGGGAGGGAGGGAGGGGGTGGTGAAATTCATATTTATGGGGGTAGGAAGTGGGTGATGATGAAAAAAAAGATGCAGTGTGGTGCATTACAGTACACTGTGGTGTATTACAATACAGTGTGGCGCAGTACAATATATTTTATGCAGTGTGGTGCTGTACGATGTAGTTTGTTACAGTGTGGTGCAAGAAAAGGCAGTTTGGTTGAGTTAGGAGCCGTACAATGAATCATACGAAAGTATGGTGCAGTACAATGAATCATGATGCATTGTTGTTCAGTACAGCGCTATGCGGTGCAGTATAAAGTATAATGGTGCAGTGTGGTGCTGTACAATATATTTTGTTCCAATGGGGTTCAAGGAAATGCAGTTATATATGCAGTACAGTATGTTACACTTATATGTGCAGTACAGTATGTTACAGTTATATATGCAAAGTTATATATGCAGTACAGTATATGGTGCAGTACAAATAAATGAGTTGTAGTTCAGTATAGTGCAATATGATGCAGTGCGGTTTGTTAAGGTACAGTATGGTGCAGTATGAAGTATAATGGTGCAGTGCAGCACATTACCTGTTCAGCACAAGGTGCACAGGTCGCAGTACCAGGTGCAGTGCAGGTGCAGTGTTGGGTGCAGTGCACCACGTACCCCTCCCCCAGCCCCACGCTGCCCCCCGCGTGGGTGCATCCCGCTGGGGAAGAGGTGGGGAGAACGGTTAATATAATATTATAAATTACAACAATAACACAGTCCAACATGAAACTGAAGATCATGAATAAAATGAATGAATGATGAATGCTGTGTCGCATAGTTTGTAGTCGAAAAAATAACTCTGAACATAAAATTTATTTTGGAAACTGTCGTCCGGTTATCCCAATTTTAGAGGGGAAAACTATTAAACTATGGCAGTAAACATCGCCTTATTCATATCAATTCTTAGAATTCAGAAAACTATTCATCAATGTCGGATAATTTCAGGAATTTTAGGAATTCCGGCGTCCCAACGGGATTCCGTCTTCCAGGCCTCGTGACGTCATTGGGTGCAAAAAAAGAAAACGCCAAACTGTGGGCAAATTTTCTGCACTGATTTCGAGATATAACGATTTTTGTATTTTCTATATAGCCATACAAGTCCATATCTAGAAACGTCCACACAAGCCCATACAGTCATACAAATCAGAGTCATACTTCGGTTGTTCCAAGTATAACTTAATTAGACCGTCATCAGGTTCTGTTTCAGGGTAGCAAAATCTACTCTGGGGCGACCCTAAACATGTGTCGGGGTGAGAGGAAGGGATGGAAGGGTTTGGTTGGGGGTGACACAATAGGCAACTAGCACACTAGGCAACACTAGGCAACTAGCGCACTAGGAAACAAGCACACTAGGCAACAGCACACTAGGCAACTAGCACACTAGGAAACAAGCACACTAGGCAACTAGCACATTAGGCAACACTAGGCAACTAGCACACTAGGAAACAAACACACTAGGCAACAGCACACTAGGCAACACTAGGCAACTAGCACACTTAGGAAACAAGCACACTAGGCAACAGCACACTAGGCAACACTAGGCAACTAGCACACTAGGAAACAAGCACACTAGGCAACTAGCACATTAGGCAACACTAGGCATCTAGCACACTAGGCAACTCACGTAGGGTGATGAGGGCGGCGTGGGCGACAGAAGCGTCCGCCCCCAGCCAGCTGAGGGAGTAGTTGGTGGACGGCGTCAGGGACGACAGCGTCGCCCGCCCCTCGCCCACCTCTACCCCCACCCGCCCACGCCCCGCCCCTGGAGTCGTGCCCTTTGGGGGGAGGAGATTAATGGCTCAGTATACACTCAAAAATATGAATGGGTCTGTCATCACAATTCATCGCCAATGTAGCACAACGGTCACGGCACCAAGGTGAGAGCAGTGAGTCGTGGGTTTGAACCTCGGGGTGGGCGGAGCTTGGTAGCCGTCAAAGGTGGTGTCGCACTGGTGGGCGGAGCTTGGTAGTGGCCGTCGAAGGTGGTGCTTGCAGCATGGCCTTGGGTAGCTGTCCCTAATCGAACTCTTGGATCTAGGGGTTGCTTGGGGGGATCTTGAGGGAATATTGTAAAAAATACTGACACACTTTCTACCCGTAGCATCAATACGCTGAGTGAAAAGAGGGTCAGGATGACCCACATGAAGCTGGCAAGTGCATCGTCGCTATTTGGACAAAATGTCACTTATTTCACTGAGTGTAGTCATGTATAGTGTATGAGTACTTCTTGTGTACTTCTCTGTATGTACACATAAAGTATGTGTACAAGTTTGAGGATAAATTTATGTGCCCATCGTGTAAAATGTTTGGATCATATTGACCAAATGGTGACACACCTTCTCACCCACAGCACGAGAAGAGAGCGGGCGCAGCACTGATACCTGGTCTAAATGGGTCAGGCTGACCCACATAAGGGCAAAAGTGCATCACAATTAGAACAAAACCTCATTCATTGCCCTAAATGACGTGTCTGAGGCCACTACACTCAAACAAATAAGCGGGTCATCACGCACCTTGTAGAAGAGGTCCCCCGCAGCGAAGCTCGGCAGGCGCACCACCGACGCGTTGTGGGTCACCCGCTCCACCTCCAGCTGATAAGTGGGTCATCATAAGTGGGTCATCATAAGTGGGTCATCATAAGTGGGTCATCATAAGTGGGTCATCATAAGTGGGTCATCATAAGTGGGTCATCATAATAATATTTGCAGGGTTAATACTGATTGTTATATAATTACTGGCATGATTTATGTTATTTGTATTTACTATTAATTTATAATCCAGTTATATATTTCTTATTACTTTAATATTATTTATTACTAGATAATATAATATATTAGTAATAAACAATATCAAATAATAATTTTCGAGTTGGTTAGATAAGAGTAAATAGCAGTAGATAGCAACAGATAACAGTAGATAACAGTAGATAGCAATAGATAACAGTAAATAAAAGTAGATAGCAATAGATAACAGTAAATAATAAAAGATAGCAATAGATAACAGTAGATAACAGTGGATAACAGTAGATAACAGTAGATAACAGTAGATAACACACCTGCTTCAGGTCGCGTAGCGGCAGTTCAGCGTCGTTGTGGCCTGTCGGAGTATCAATACACGTTCATACGCCGGTGGGTGGGAGTATTAATTAGATTAATACCATATATAGCATAATTATTGCAACTATAACTAGGAATAAACAGTCATGGATATATATTATACGAAATTAACGTAAAATTGGACAGTGGATTTAAGAAGATTAAACTTAACAAAACTGAAGCACAAAATAGAAAAAATAGCGAATGAATGAAAAGCCGATACGAGAGCCAGGCGTTTTGCAGATAAATTCATGCAAAAAATACAAAAGTATTCAAGAAATTACAAATCAAAATAGACCACAAAGTTACAGTTATAAGTATAAATATTTTCCAAGTAAACGAAATATAGCAAAGTTTGCTGCAAATTAGGTTTTAACAATACCAAGATTTTAAATTAATTTAAATTTATTAACAAGATGCTCCGCCATTCTAACAAAGAAGTGAACAAGGTTTTAACCCATCTGAGGTCAGGGCTAAGACAGCGAAACAAGAACCAATCCCGGTGGTCAGGCGCCGAGGGTTGAACCCCGAGGGTTTATCTACAAGGAATTAGCCCCGAGGGTCGAGCCTCCAATGTTTGAGCCCCAAAGGGTTGAGCCCCGAGGGTATAGCCCGTCTCAAGCCTTACCTCGCCTCGGTTCTCTCTCTGAACCTCCTGTTTCAGAAACTGTCATCCTGCTTCCCGCTGCCGTTTCAAAGACCACAGGTGCTGTTTCAGGGGGTGCAGTTTCCGTTTCAACCATCATTGATCGACTAGACTCTTTTTCCGAAGCCGTTTCAAAAAGTTCTGTTTCAGAAGTCGTTGAAACTGACTCGATTTCAGTAGCCGTTTCGACAGGTTCGATTTCAGTAGCCGTTTCAACAAGTTCTTTTTCAGTGGTCGTTTCAACTGAATTTTTTTTGGTAGTCGTTTCAGGAGGTAGGACTGAGGTAACCGTTTCAACTGATCTAGTTTCAGACACATTTTCAATAGGTTCTGTTTCACTTTCAACAGTCAAACCCAATACAACAGCTTCATTGTTGAAAATATACCTCGTTCCGTTTTCTACAGACCAGAATTCACCTTCAACAGAAGCAGCAGTTTTGTTCTCACCAACAGATGACGTTGACGCACTACCGTTGTTCCTGATCAGAACCCCTGTCGTGTTACTCCCCGTTGGGGTTATATTTCCAGTCTGGGGGAGCAGGTCCACCCCCGCCAGCCGGGATGACGTTGATATGGATACACTTGTGACAAAGTCAAGCGTTGGCGTCGTTGTTTCAATGTCAACAAAGCTATTAGTGACGTCAGCCACATTGTTTGGATCGTCAGCCATCTTCTGTGTGGAATCTTCTGCCGTTTCGGTTAAAAAGTCGTTCGCAATCTTTTTCGTTTCGTTCGTTATGTTTCTTGAGGAGTCTTCGTCCATATTGGATGCAGAGTCGTTCGCCATCTTGATAATTTCGTCCTCCATCTTGTTTGCAAAATCGTCGGCCATCTCGTTCTTTTCATCCTTTATCTTGTTTGCAGAGTCCTCCTCCGTCTTCTTTTCTACCAAGACAATAGGAACATCGTCCTTGGGATCAGATTCGTTATCCAAATCATGAGGGACGATATTGTCACCAAGTTTCTTTTTCAAATTGCGGCTTTTGAATGACAGACTATCACTTTCTTCGAACTTGAACGGAACTTTCGGCTCAACAAAACTTTCTTGCATAAAATTCAAGAACTTAAACACGTTTTCCGAAGTGTTTCGTGAACCTCGACCATCAACAGGACTTTCCACAGTCGAGTTTAAAGCGATCAACTCATTAATTGTAGGAGAGGAAGAATTGTTGGTCTTGAGGTCCTTTTCTAGATCTGCCACGAGGCGATGATTATCAGGAAGTTGTTCAGTGTCATCAACCGTAATTACATCATTCAGTACTCTCACATCATCGTGGGTAGTACCAACATTTTCAACCAAAATATCATTGGTGGCAGCTAAATCCTTGTCCCTTAAGGACACGGTATGGTTTAACCCACTAGTTCCATCATTGACCACACTATTGTCATCAGTGTCTGCGCCACTGATTGTACTTTCATTCCTGTTATTTGTTCCATCCAACGAAGTGCTACCACCCCCTCTTCGCCCTACACCGCCATCCGCATCTCCATCATCACTGATACCGTCCCCGCTACCAAACTGGTCATCACATACTACCACCACACAACACTGGTCACCACCGCTCTGGTTTTCGAGCTCGACGCAGTAAGGTTCTGGTTTGTATTGGTTTCTGATGTGTAAACCAAATGGGCATCTGGTTTCTTGGCATACCATGTCAGCCGACTGCGGTGATATGAAGAGGGTATCAGAATGTATCGGGGGTGTATCTGCAGGCACGAACGCGTTTTCTACGCATACACACGTCTCGGTACAGTCGGTGCTGTGTACGGTATCACCGATATCGTACAGGGTACCGTTTTTGCTACAGGATAGCGGCTTTTTCTCTTCCAGTACCACGTCTGTGGCAAGAACAGTCCGAAGAGTTGGGACGAGTTGGGTTTAGTTGTCGTTGAAGTTGCGCATGGGTTACGTTTACGTGAATTAAATAATTAGTTTGGTTGAATCGGTTAATAAACCGTCAGCTGGTATGAGGGTTGCAGAGGGGTGTTGAACATCATACCAGGCTTGGCAGGGTTGTAGAAGCGGGGAAGAGAGGAGGGGGTTGAACACAGGGATGGGGAAAGGACAAATATCGTTAGAAACAAAAACGATAAGAAAGTTACAGTTGATTGATTACAATTAAAAGGTACACAAGGTTAAAGTGATCAAGAAGAAGCAGGTGCATTTCACTGACGGTTATATAACCTAATATTAATCACGGTGAGGACAGTAATCAGGCAAGGTAATGAAAGAAATACTCTAACATGACATGTGAATTAGAAGGTTCAATAAAATGGATAAAACTTAGGTTGCTACATGTATACAAGGTATTTAATAGCGTTAACGAAGAACAAGGTAACTCAATGGGTGCATGGCAAACAACTAACTGGGCTAGACAAATATAAATAATAAAAGTGAGCATACAGAATAGAATATATAGACATGCTTAAGGCCGCTGTGTTGTAAAGAACACTTAAAAATATAAAGTAAATAGGGCATGCACAAGATGGAAGCTATACTCTCCTAAATACAGAGCCGCCCCAGCCTCTAATACCGAGCCGCTTCAGCCTCTAATTTAGAGCCGCCCCAGCCTCTGATTGCCCGAAGCTAGGGCGACTCTAAATTCTGATAAGGAGTACCAGTAACTAAACGCAACACAGAAGCACACAAAACACACAAGACACAGACACACAAAACACAAACACATATAACACACACAACACAGACACACAAAACACACAAGACACAGACACACAAAACACACAAGACACAGACACACAAAACACACACAACACAGACACACAAAACACACACGACACAGACACACAAAACACACACGACACAGACACACAAAACACACACAACACAGACACACAAAACACACACGACACAGACACACAAAATACACACGACACAGACACACAAAACACACACGACACAGACACACAAAACACACGACACAGAAAACACAGACAACACAGACACACAAAACACACACGACAAAGACATTTACACGACCTATTTCCTCACCCCACCAAGTGGTACCACTAGTGCACTACTCCCAACTGAGGTACTTGCCTGGTACTTGACAGCGAGGTTTATGGTCCACCACGACGCAACCTCCACCCTGAGGGTAATGATGGGTCATTAGACGAGAAAGAGTGGGTCATGGGGTACCGTAATAGGTCATTAGGTACCGTAATATGTCATTAGGTACCGTAATAGGTCATCAGGTACCGTAATAGGTCACTAGGTACCGTAATAGGTCATTAGGTACCGTAATAGGTCATTAGGTACCGTAATAGGTCATTAGGTACCGTAATAGGTCA